ACGGCCATTCCCATGCTAAGGTAAGCCCTCATCCCCACCAGGCCGGGGTCCCATCAGGCTAGGAGAAAACACCCGTTTCTGAGAAGGAGCTGTATTTGTGTAAACCGGGAGGACTGACGGGTTGGGTCATGTCGTTCACTTGACCACTTATGGTTTCAAGAAGGACTCAAGTGTGTCCAATTTGCTGGCACCTCATTAGACAGAGAAAGGGCCCAATCCGGCCAGACCACAGTGCTGTGGGGACATGAGGGAGGGAGGGAGGCTCGGCATCCCTCCGTCCACATCCGCCCAGTCTCCCCTGTGCGCTTTGGGGCAGCATTCATACTTGGAAGCTTCCGGCAGCATTCCCGCCAGCCCAGCACACCTCGGGTCCGTGGAGCCTTCCTGGGGCACCATTCTCGGCAGCTTTTCTTGACCTCGGCCTCAGCACCTGGCAACTGTGCCCCCCAACTCCGATGGGCCCGTGCACGTACCAGCCGGGCAGCCCAGCAGATACAACTGCTCTGCTTGTGTCCTCAGATCAAGGGATCACCCGCCGTGCCAGGGGCAGTCTGCCCCCTTGGCCAGCACTCCACCGAGGATGGGCTGGGGCACTCATGGCTGCTGGCACAGGAGTCCTACCAAAGGTCTGCAATTTGGGGAGCCAAGATTCAAGATGTGCTTTTTATTTTCACGCAGGCAGCTCAGTTCTTGTGACTGTTTTCTGCAGTAGATGTGGTCTGATATCGGACCCCACCTACAGAAAGGGCCACCTTGAACTTCACATGGTACCTCCTAGCTAGAGCGCTGAGGCAGAGGCTGAGCCAGGCTGCAGTGTGAGGAATGTTTCAGGCACTCGCTCAGCATCACCGGAGTGGGGAAGGCTGATCCTACTGCCTTGCTCCAGTTATAACAGATCAGCCAAATCTTCTTCAATGAGCTCTTGTCTCCTGATCTGGGGGAGGAGCATTTCCCGGGAAATGGCCACTTTCCCCTGAACATCCTTCCTGCTTTTCCAAGGGAAGCAGGGAGGCACAGCAGGTGATCGCCTCAGGAAGTTTTTGTCCCAGTGAGGATCTTCGCTAGGGCTGTTGTCTCCTACCAAAATTGGAAATGACTGCTGCCAGGTGTGTAAGAAACTCCCTGGAGGACAGAATGAGGAAGTGTGATCATTTATGTTTGATTTAGAAAACGAAGGTCCAAGTGCAGATTGGCAGCAAGAGGTCTGTCTTCTTGCCAATTTCTATCACTGAAAGGAGAGCACAATTTTTAAGATGTGACAGTTGTGGGGGGAGTGGGGACAAGGAGCATCTGGACCAACTCTGAGAGCGAAGTCTTATGAGGCAAGCTTGAGCCCTTTGACTGAGGGAGGGATTTTTGGATTTGATCCAAAAATAGGCTAACCAAATGCCCTGGTTTGCCTGGGATAGTCACGGTCTCTGCCAGCCACCCAAGTTGAATTTTCAGTGGTGCCCCCTTTCACTTTAAAAAAAGTCTGGATTTGGCTGATAAGTTCTATGATCACCCTATGCCAAAGGAGAGAGAGAGAGAGAGAGAGAGAGAGAGAGAGAGCTATGGCTGGAAATGAATCCAGAAGAGTGACAAGTAGGATGGGGGATTCTGAGAAAGTTGATTTTGCTGAGCCTGAAGGAAAGAGGCAGGCAGTTGAGGCCGGTCCATTCTCAAGTGTGTTCAGAGACATAGGCTTGTTGGCCATGTCCAGGCATAGATTTGAAGAGTGTGGATGCTGGAAGGGTCTCTGGCAGGTCATCTAATTCATTTCCTCTTTCACCACAAGAGGACACTGGGCTAAAAGAGATAGAAGTGACCTGCCCAAGATCACACCCGGGTCCCAGTAGCGTGGGGACCAGCCTTGCGCCTGGAGGGTCAGGCCCAGGTGCTCTGTTCTGGAAGAGAGGGAAAGGGATGGCTCTGAAAGATGCTGTGGAGGATGAATCCTGTACTGCATGTAACATGGCCGCCTCAGAGCCGGGGGAATCGCAGGCTGTGCCGCAGATCTGAGGCTGAGGAGGGAGGACGAAGATGCGTGAGGTTCAGACCTGCTGGGCAAGAGTGGGTGTGGGGCTGAAGTGGAGGGGTAACTGGGCTCTCTGGGGCAGTGACTGCAGGGGACCGAAGAGACTAATTGGCCCGGAGAATTAAGAATGAATGAAGAAACAGGTATGTATGGACATGAATGGGTTCACATAAGTACTTTATAGAATTGAAATCTTTTCTTTGGTTCAAATTATAGCAAAATCGCACAAAAAGGCAAACCCTAGTGACCGCTGTCTTATCCCTTGGCCCCTCTTTCCTAGCCCCTCGACACGGCTGCAGTGGTGGGAAAAGTCTAAGTCAGTAACAGTCCTGACCTCTACTTGGTAGGTGAGGAAACTGAGTCATGAAGAAGCCAGCTCCCTTCTGTCTCATGGTGCTCTTAACAAACGGGGTGTGATTAGGGACAAGCCACAAGAGCGATTCTACCAGACAAGCCACAAGAGCGATTTTGTGGTTTCACTGCAGTTTGACCTCCCATGCAGCTCTGGTGTGGTGGAGGGGGTGAGGTGGTAGACTTTTCTGTGAATCTACTCATCTGGATGGAGGTCCCAGGGAGAAGCCCAGCTTGAGGCTCCAGAGACCTGGCTTTCTGGTCCCAGTTCTGCTGTCTGCTAACTAGCGGTGTGAGGGTGGGGAGTCACTTCTCCTCTCTCCCCTACTCTTCCTGGTTGTCAGATGAAGACTCTCACTTCTGCCACCTCCAAAGTCTCAAACCCTGGCTCTGTTTTTCCAGAGATATCTGACCTTGGCTCAACCAGTATCTGACCTTGGCTTAGCTACATGTTCAACTCTTGCATCTTCTCGTGGTCTATGTATAGAGCACACTTGCAGATCTGGGTGGAATAACTGTCCCTAGGTCTCAGTTATCTCTGACAGGTACAGGCACAACGACACTGCATGCAAATATCATTCACAAAAACCCCAGCATATTTGGTTCGGAGCTATAGGTTTTGCCTCCAACAACTTGCCACCCAACGAAGTTGAATTAAATATTGAAGTTTGTTGCAGATCATCTTCAAAGTGAATAGCTCAGCCCAGTAAACATATAGTAGACTGTAAGCTGGTTGTAATCAAAATGATCTCCTGTCACCCTGAGCAAGTTCTCCCACATAACATCTACAAAAATCCTGCACACCATTGTCACACCCACGTAGTGCTCTCTGATATGTGACATTAGAAACCTCAATCCCCTGAAAAAAAAATCATAAAATAGTTTCAGTATATATGAACTGAGCACACATTTTGTTCAGTGAAACTTCTTTGATGACGCCTGTTCAAAAACCTGCAAATATTGAGAAAACACCCACAGACTCGTCCTCGGCTGCCCTGGTACATTTTGCAGAAACCAACAGGGAAGACAGAAAAGACTGGGCGTCCCTGGAGATCATGCACATTCCAGGACACCTCAGGCCCTCTTAACCTTCCTCTGCCACCCGCACCTGCTAGTTTCTGAGCCAATGTTCCAGAGAAGCCAGGCTGGGGCCGTAGGAGGGTGAGCAGGACATGCACATTCCAGGACACTTCAGGCCATTGGCGGCAACTCTTTCCACCCTCCAATTGCTAGAGACGTAGAGAAGCTCAGAGTCACTGGGGCATCCCACGTCCCCAGCAGCACCAAGCAGCACACAGGAGTGTGTTCGGCACACAGAAGCAACGCTAGACGGAATAGGAAGGAAGGGCTGAGAGGCTCTGTGCTCTTGTCACCTTAGTGACCGGGGGTCAAGAGGTGAGTGTCTGGGACCCAAGAGCCGCTTCAAGGCCACGGAAATACAGCCTCTACCTGGGAGGAAAGGTCCTTGGGGAATAGATGTCAGGTCAGGAGACCGGGGACTAACTGTGAAAAACCTCAAAATACCGAGAAAAGCTTGTGTGCATGACTTGATGGCGTTCAAAGTCGTTGTAGCATACCCAGGACTTTGGTGGAGCACGTCTCCCAGACAAATCCATCATTCGGTATCAGCACTTCTTTATTATAAAATTAACATCACTGAAAGCTTCAAAAAAAATAAGACAGACCAAAAATATCACACCTTAGGCAAATGAGTTGGAAATCCCTTATAGTGACGCCCTATTTTTTCCACCCATCTCTAAAGTTGGAGGACACCTGGTATGGTGTTTAGGTAAGAGATGCAGCTCCTGGACCACACGGTTTCCTGACGGTACAGAATTGAAATGACGTCATGGAAATGCATATGTCTCAAGGTCACTCTAAGTATGGTTTCTAGGTGAAAACCTGAGTCTTAGTCATTGGTGGAAAGGTGGTTGTGTGCCTTTGTGACCTGCTGGTATCCATCGCTCTCTGCCTTCAAAGGCAAAGTTTTCATTAAATTCATTCAGGCTCCCAGCCAAGTTTTCCCACACTTTGGGCTCACCTGGAGGTACAACCTAAATGTAGGTTATACCACACCTGTGCTCCTTTGTCATTCAGAAGGAAATAAAACAACTGCTACCCAGAAAGAGCGAAGTTTGTCTTCCGCTCAAGGGCAAGGACTCTATGACATAAGATGCCTACTCCAGCGGTTAATCTGAACAGTCTCCTTTGTGTAGCGTTCCCCACGGTGACGAAAGTGAGGATGTGGCAGACACAGAACGTATGGAATCCTTTGTCTTAATTAAAAAGTACAGTGAGAGTCATGGAATTTGGCCAAGCCTCATAAATCTGCTCAAAGAATCAAGATTCTGTCAGATAAGCTTAAATAGAACCAATGGGGCCCTCTGGAGAATTAAATAGATTCCCTGCTAGTAGCTGACACCCACTCTCCTGTCACTTTGCTGCACCCCACGGACGGCGGCTGTGCTCATTAACCAGCAACCCTCCTACCCGCCGATGACAAGTATATCCCCGCGGAGCACAGAACTCAGGGATGATAAATTTACTCCTGCTTGTAAAAATGAAACTCTCCTCAGGGCAATAAAAGTGCTGCGAGCCTTTAAGGAAATCAGTACTTTGTCTGATAACCTACCTTCATGAACAAAGACTGGTCCTCTTGGTCAGGACAGCTCCTCACTGCCAGGCAGAACTGCTCTAACGTAACTGGAAGGGAAGAAACAGGAAAGGTGAATGACCTCCCTTCCGCCCCCGAGCTCCTCTGGTATGGAGAGGAACACGGTAGTTATAACAGAAACAGCGGGCATGCTACTCCCCGTCTTTCCCTGGTGATGGGATAGACAGAGCTCCCCCCGTCCCCGGAGTGGGTGACTTCTGCACCACTGTGAGCTGGGATGACAACATCAGAGCCCAGGGTCATGCCCATTAACAGAACTCTATTTTAAACCTCCGGGAGGTCCTGCGTTCTGCCACCAGTGACCAGCTAGCTGGTCCCCCAAAGACCACACCAATCCCTGTTTCATGTGATCTCCATTTAGAGAACCACCTGCCTTTGTAAATTTGGCTGTGGTAGATTTTCTGTCTCAGTCTTCTGTCGTGATTCCCATGGATTTAAGGCCTCTCTTGGTGTGAACATGATAATGGCCCCCAGTGTTGACTCAAGCAAATCCCCCAAACTCCCCTACGTATTTCAAGTCATGTTTCCCCAACCATCCTTCTCCAACAGAATGGCAGACACAAACCCAGGAAAGCTTACAAAAACAAAAAACAAAAACCTTTTAACGATCCATTTAAATAGGCCATGAAAGCTCTAGGAATATTAATTTAGACAATTTACAGAAATCACATTCCCTTTCTCTGTCATGGTGGCCTGGCTTCCATCAAAAGCTCACTTGTGTGGGCACCCCCTTTTTATTTTGGTCAAACAAAATACCAAACCACATGCTGCCTTCCCTGCACACTGTTTTGACTATATTATTTCACTTTTAAAAATGCTCCCATGAGTCCCTACCACCCTCAGATTTAAATCTACTTGTTTTGACAGGCATTAAGGGTTTAACTTAGTCAACCGTCTAGATGACCCTATTATTGCTAGACTCAAAGCAGCGTTCACTCTCTACCTGCCATAACCTTTCACCACCATCTGCTGGGCACAGTCCCACCACTTGCCTTGAAGCAGAGCAAAGCCCACCCCTCCACCAGAACCTTGCAGGCCTGCCATCCAACCACTCAAAGTCACTGCCCACCTCTGGGGTCCAGCCCAACCTCCACAGAGTCCACAAAAGTGGGGAGAGCTACACCCAGCCTCATGACTGAGGGAAGGCCTCATTCCATTGTTCTGACCCCAAGGATGTCTGGATGTCATGTTTACAAAGACAGATATTTTGAAGAGAATCATATCACCAAGAACACATTTTCATCAAGCGTTGTCTGGGTAAGTTTTTTGTGTTGTGTTCAATGTTACCTAATTACCTAACCTAATGTTAGGTAATTACCTAACCTAATGTTACCTAAACACAAATCTTTAGACAGTTTCTATCTATGACTAAATTACTCTAGGCAGTTTTAACTGTTATCAATTGTATCTTGCACTGATGATTTTTTCCACATCTAAATGTTTGCTCTGATCCAGTCAAAATGTGCTCAGAACCAAGAGAGGGATCAGTGTTGCCTGCTTTACATATATATGCCCGCCCAGTCATCAACGGGCTAAAATGAATAGTAATTACATAGAATCATAAATTATTTTAAACAATCAAAAAATTTCAAAAGAGTTAAGAGTTGAAATACAATACTTTTCCCATAAAAGGAGCTCAACAGAAACTCAGCTCGAGATAAGAACCCGGGCTAGGCTGAGTTCATACGAATGTTTTTGCTCTCACCGATTCAAAACACACCCCCTCCATGGAAGACTCTGGAAGCAACAACCCCTCTCCCTGAACATTGTCATCGGCTCTGTTTTGGTGTGACAAAATATTGAACTCTATTGTCTGAGGATGAATCAAGAATAATCTACAAATTCAGGTGCTAGGTTTTCTTTAGACAACCTTTTTTGAAGGTGACTATTTCATTGGTAAAGGTTTATGCTGTGACTTGGAATCTTCCTGAGTACAGGCCATTGGAATCTAAACACTTGCCACTTGCTGCCTTGGGGGGCTCCTGGATTCTCGCCCTCACCTCTCCTCCTCTGTGGTGACCCCAGAGCCATACCTCCAACCGTCTATGGCCGGACTCCACCGTGACACTTACTTGTTCACAAGACGTGGCAACCAGCCAGGACAGCTGTTTCTTTGAACCAGTGGACTTCCATGCCCCGCCAACCCTTCCCTGAATTTTCCCATTTCTGTGGTACTGTCATCCAGCAGCCAGTAGGCCCAGATCTCTGATTCTTCCTTCCCGTCACTGAGCCTCCTGACGCTTCTTGCACAACGTCTCCCCGATGCACCCCTTTCCCACGGCCCAGCTGCCACTTTGACACTGCATAATGCTTCTGCCTCGTTCCCCAACCTGGATGCCCCGCCCTCCCTCTCCTGGCCCTGTGCGCAATGCTGCCCCCACGGGAACACTCGCACTGCCAGGGCTCTGCCCGCACCTCCTCCCCTCTGCATCTCAGCCCCTCTTCCCTGGTGCAACCCCCTCCCCTTGCCAGCTCCTCACTATCATTAATCCACAGCTGGGTTCCTGGCCACACGATCCGCTCTGTCTTCTTCCCATCTGCTCAAACCCTACCCTTCTGGGCCCAGCCAGTCAAGGCAGAGTCAGACAGACCTCACTCGTGGTCTTTACGACCACTCCCAGCCACGTGTCCTTGGATGAACCACATGCTCTCCCTGAGCCTCAGTTCCCTAAAGTCACCTGTGGAGGTGTTGTGAAGGCGAACGGAGAGGCCGGAGGCCAAGGCACAGTGTCCGGCACGGCATTGGCCCCCCCACTCTGCACCCTGGAGAAGCTTTCTCTTTCCCCATCACACGGACTTCTTCCCGGCTTCATACCTTGATGGGACACATTACACACTGGCTTCTTCTCTTTAAATTGTTTTTTGGCTGATAGGTACACACGCTGCCTTGTCTGAGGAATGAGCCTCCAGCGACAGCCTTGTGACTCTTCCTGAACTCTGGTCTATCCCTGTCTTGTCCAACATGCCCAAAGTCACCACCCAGTTTTGTGGAACTGGACTGAAGGGCCCTGTGGGAACACAGGGCCCCACAGACGGAGCTTCCCCCTAACTGGCTGGCTCGAGTTCATGAGGCCAGCACCTGTCGCCCTGTCTACACAAGCAACAAAAGCCAACCTTGACAACAGGGCACCAACAGAAGCAGAGCACACGGATTGCCCAGTTGTTTTCCCCTCGCCTTAGATGTCAGTGTGGCATAGCTCTCGTGCCAACAGCGAGCTTACCACTCACCTCATCCCACTCTGATTTCTACCAAATCCCCAAAGAAGAGAGAGGGTAGAGACACGACCAGCTCCTCTCTGCCAGGTCTGTGTGGCCACTGCACCTGGGCTACCTAACTCACTGACAAGGCCTGCTAAGAAGCATCTCAACAAGGTTCACATTTCATTCTCCTCCCGCTCCCCTCCCCGACTTTTAAGTAAGAAAAAAAAAAAAACAAAAACCCTCTAAAAATGAAAGCATCTGTGGTATCTACCTTCCTCTACCCCTGCTGCTGATTCAACAGGGGCTGACTGCCTGATGAGAATAAGGCCGGCAGCCAAACTCCAGGCTCATGGCCGCGGCGCGAGTCTCCTTCAAAGACTCTGGGTGAAATGTTTTGGATTCCACGTCGATTGTTTTAACTGCTCTTCAGTGTCCCCAGTGCAGTTCCAGCAGGGGGATGCAAAGGCTCCCACCTGTCTGAGGACAGTCAAGTTCCCTTGGTTCAACCCTTCCACTCAGTGTGACCGAGAGATTGGCCTGACAATAGCGGGAGAACAACAGATTTTGAGATAACAAGTCGCTTTGAGGTGGGGGTGGGGGGACCCGCGAAAAAGTGACCCGATTGAGGTAAGAAAATGAAGTAAGTTAGAAATTGAAGTAAGGAAATGAAGTAAGAAAATGGTAGTTTGGGAGACAAAACTTACAGGCTAGCATGAAATACTTCTGTCTCCCCTTGTGAATATGGGCTGCCATGGGTTCGTAGGTGAGGTCCAACAGCCTCACCCATGCAGCCATTTCTGGAAAGGTAGACAGGACTTTGCAACACGGGAGATCCCTAAAACAAGGAAATGGTTGTACCTAGAATATCTTTCATTATGACATGTTGATGCAAATAAGGGGGGAAAGTAAGACAAACCAAATGCACAATAGCATTAAACTTATGTTTCCCTTTGAATTATGGCTGTAAGATTGAGGAACTCCTGCTAAGTTAACAGGCACAAGTGACCTTAAAGATAACATCAGGGGCTGTATTGCTCAGAAATCCTGTCTCGGAATATTCTTTCAACTTCTCTCTCAATCCCCATGACAGGGTCCTGGAGAACTGGGATCCTGCCCCAGGTGCCAAGCTTTAAAGAGCCTTGCTTGGCCATCCCTCTGGCTGCAGCCTTCCCCATGGGGCAATGGGAGAGTAACTGCCTGGAGTCCACACCCCACTTCTCCAGGTACCCAGGATCCTGGGTTTATAGCTTGAGTCTCTTCACTGGGACTCTGTGTGTGTGTATCCCTAGACTCATGCGGTGGCCAAGGGGCAGCTGTTGGCAGGGTTGGACAAAGACCTTGTGCTTCTAGACTGGAGGATCCACAGAGTGTGGGATGGATCTGGGGGTGGGAATAGTCAGGGATCTGCAGGGGGGATGCTTCTCCCCATGCTGCTGAGTTCACAAAACTTCCCAGAGTGTGAGAATTGTAAACTGGAGCCTGGCCTTCTGGATGAATGAAGCTACATTTGTTCAGGCAGGAGGACAGAGTATATTTTCTTCAACACTTTGTCAGCTTGTTTTATACACTTCCCCTGGGCCCCACACAGAGCAGGGCAGGCTTGGAGAACGAAGACCTGATACTAAAACACAGGCTCACCCAAACCTCTTCAAAGCCAGGTGCTTCCATCTATCTCTGGAAAGAGGACACCGGTCCCAGCTGCATCTCTCATCTGGCAGGAGAAGGAGGTTTCACAATGAAGAGAAGAAAACCAGCCTCTTCTTAGGGGCCGCAGAAATGTGGAGGCTGACATCTACCCCTAAACAGAAGGTTCCACCTGGAGGAGTGT